TCTCGGCTGGCCTGGGAACGCCTTGGTATTCCCCCGGACAAGCTGGAGGAGGTGGCTGGGGAGAGGGAGGTCTGGACCTCTTTGCTTAGGCTGCTACCCCCGCGACCCGACCTCGGATAAGCGGATGAAGATGGATGGATGGATAAGGGATGAACCAATTTTGCTCATTATACTGGATGTCGCAGCTAAAACGGGACAGCTGACAAACCTAGTACCCACAGATGCTGTTTTCAAGTCTCCAAGTTCATTCTCCAACTTCTGTATGCATTGGATCATTGCTTGTTGCTCATCTCCTTCCATGATGGCAGTCAAACATTGGCTGCTTCTTCACTCCAGTCTACAAGCCTGTCCCTCCTGTCCTTGCAAAAGAAACTAAAATGAATAAAACTAAAATGAGACAAAAAGCAGCCACTCCCTTGGATCCTTTGGACAACCCCAAAAATGTTACAGAACACTAAGATGTAAAATAAAATGCCCAATATCAATTAAACATAAATTTTCCAAAATGTTGGTGCAGGAGTGCATTTTTGAAAATGAGCCATCAGTGAATACCTATCAAAAGCTATCACAGTGGCACAAGAACATTCTTTATTTATTTTTAACTACCATGTTATAAAGAAGAGAACAAACTTGGAGCATCAGATGAATGACCTTCATACCCCTGAACAATCTTACAATAGTCCCTGTGTGGGCCTCATCGCAGTACCATTCCCCAACTTTGATTTAAAACATGGTTTTGAAGTACAATGACTCACACATGTGTCCCTGATGAATGACCTCTCACCCCCATGTGGAAATGTATCGCCTAAATTTTTGAGCGCCATTAAGTCACATTTGGACTTCTTTGCTTGCAGATGACACCAACACGTTGGCCCATTACGAGCTGCAGTAATACAATCCTGCCTTAATAAGTGTACTTGACTTTGTTGTATGCTGTGTAAATGTGACTTTTGGGCTGGGCGAAATATGCAAAGCAGAATAAATATTATATTTGCTAATTGCTAATGGCTGGTTAGTGGCCAGTCATGTTACATGGTCCTACTATCAGTAGTAGGTGTTATTTTGTTTTATTTTATTTATACTTATTTTTGGTTGATTGCTTTTGTAGAGATCACCTGGGGATTGTTTCCTCTGAAGTCTTCCCCCCGTGGATTACGAGTATGTTTTTATTTTGTGCTGTACATTCAGTTATTGCACTCAGTTAAGTTAAGAGTTGTGTTCAAGGGTTGGTGCTGCAGAAGCTTACTATTGGCCTTTGCTGCCTTTTTTCCATTTTGTTTGGGTTTCCTCCTGTCCTTTCAGTAACTGGGCAGTAATTTGCTTTAGAGTCAGCTTTTTGTGTTAGATTTTTGTGGTGACCCAGAACATTTGATCTGTGTGTTTTACTTGGGTTTTGAAGTCTCCTTTTTATAACAGTGTTTAAACCACATGTGGGATCTATGGAAGCTATTAATGTTTTTTTAATGTAAGTTATCTAATTAGTGAAGTTTGTTTCTGTAACATCTTCACAGTACTAATCGATAGGTCATCTGCTCTAAACTGAAGATTAAATTTATTTGGTAGTTTGAGTGTTTGGTTTCTGAAAGATGGATTTATAAATGCTTAATTTTGCTAAATCACTGGAATGATGCCATTTTATTAGCTGCAGGTCACCAATATGTTTGTGCAGTAGTGTTAATCACAGAGGACATATTTGATTTCAGATTTTGAGTCTATTAATAAGTTATGTTTTTACTCACGATCTAAAGGCCTAAAGTGGAGGTGACTACTTGCCCTGGTGGTAAGATCATCCATGGTTTGTGATTTTTTATGCATCGCCCACTGGTAAGCCACAGCTCTGAAACAGCTAACAGTACATGCGCAAATAAATTATTGGCTCTTCTGATGTCTGTTTTACATTTCTGTTAATAAATTATTTATTTTACACTCTGAACCACGCCCGTGTCTCAGGTGTTGCAGACCTGGGTGCCTTCTTAGTAATTTGCAGTGTTTCAAACGCCCCCACCACGATGCCGCCCTGGGGAATTTCACCCAGAGAATATGGGTGAAATTCCCCAGGGCAGCGTTGTGGGGTTTACCCCGTGACTGTGAAACCTTCAACCTCCTAATCGCCAGAACAACATTTTGTGTTTGCAAAATTTGATGAATTCGGGTCAGCTGTAGATAATAGCCAGGGGTGGTCCTAGCCTGTTTTGGTGCACTCCCTCCCTCAAAGTTTGTCCATTCTGCGCTGCAGATGGGTTGCTTGTGTTAAAAATTTTAATTGCCTTAATCGTGATAACGGCGTTAACCTTGATAGCCCTAGTTTTTTTTTTTTTTGTTGTTTTTTTATTTTGTTTTATATTGCGAGTTGGTTATTAGATGCCGCAGCCAGCCAGAGCATCCCCGCCGTCCCGCCCCTCTCCTCCCTGTGCAGCAAGCAGCAGGCGCACCTCATGGATGGAGGGCACCCAGCACACAAATGGGCAATAGAAAACGGCCTTTGCGATCGCAAGAATGCACTGGCATGATGTCAGGGCAGTAAGGGTGCGAGCAACTTTTTTTTCTTTTTAATGCATGATGCACCACGATGCAGCCCTGGGCAACGGCCCATGTCGCCCATATCAAAAGCCGCCACTGATAATAGCGGCAATATACAGTAAACCCAAGTCTTTGAAAACCTGAATGAACTGAATTTGGATAAATTCCCTGAACTCTGTTTGTGTCTGACAAGACTGACACACTTTGTACAGTTAAATTATGGTCATTGGTTAGAACACATAGTTCCCCTTCCCCACAACCCACACACACGCCCACGCACACACAGTTCAAGGCCCTTCCCACTGTGGTAAAAGAGGAAATGTGAAATATGAGCTTTTAATATTGTTTTATGTGTTTGTTGTTTGTTCTGCTAAATTGCGGCCCAACATCTCAAAACAGAAACCATTCAAAGCAGTAAAGCATCATTATTATTTCTGATTCTGATTAAACATTAAACTGGTGACATATATACTCATGTGACTCCTCAAACAACTAACAAGTTTTGTCACTTTACGTTATTTCTATGCTCTGTCTGCAGCTACATTTATTTCATCTCCCAGTCTGTATGAACTTCCTGTCCGTCCACGCTGGATGAGGAGTACAAAGTATTTTTGAATAATGTGTCCTGTAACCATGCATCAAACGGTTGTTAAAAATAACACAAGTGGACCCCGGTAGCAGATCACTCAGACACGCTTGGTAGTAGTGAAACAGATTTATTTAGAATGAAAAACACAAAAACATTAAGGGGGCGAGGGAGCGCGCACACGGAGACACTCGAGCGTTAGTAAACAGGGAAAGGTGAGATACTTCAATGGTGGACATTGGTTGCACACAGATGTTTTACTTTGGCAGCAACTTAAACAACTGAGTCAAATTAACACTTAAATTCAAAACACATAAACCCAAGAAGGTGGTCAGTCTTCTTTTTTTCAGTCTAAAAATTGGAGCGCTTACTTGTCACACATTTACTGAGGACTCGGACGAGGTGCGTGGACCTCGTGGCGGGGTTGGCCATGATAGTGTAGGCGGGCAGGGTGACTGACATCCAAAGGTGACAAACGAAGGAAAGGTAAGGCAGACTGGCGAGCGCTGAAGTGACCCTCAGGTTGTGGACGGCTGGGGTGACAGCGAAGCAAGGTGGCAGTAAAACAGGCGAAAATAATCCCAAAAAGACTTTGATTACTAGAGGATTTCCACACGAAACACGACTGAGTCATTACCACTTGCTCAGACAATACTCTGACAACAGACTTCTACCACTCCGCTATTTAACAAGTGTGTAGGGAAATGCCGAGAGTCACACACACACACCCCGCGCCTGCTACATAATGGGGAACCACAGCAAAACATGCGAAGCAGATGTAACAACAGACAGCTGTAGGGACCGAATGCTTTAAATGTAAAGGATATTTCAGTGATTATTTTGAAATATTGTCAAACGCTGTTACAGATTGTTCGGTTAATAAAGATGAAGTTTATACTAGACCGCGTTTGATTGAGTGTGTTGGACAGCTGTAATTATGAATAGGGGAAACTTATGAAACGGGCTTGAGACGTGTGCAAATTTGAAAGGGTGGGCAGGGCTTTTCGGCTGAACTAACGAGGAAGTCCTGAAAGTTTTTTCTGCTTGAAAAGCTGCGCCATTTATTTATTCCCCATGTTGGGAGCCATGTGCAGCTGGATGAACAGTCGGAGCTCTGGATGAGCAGAAATGTGGATTCTACCGCAGAACGTTTGAGAGAACGATCAAAGTTTGGGTTTCTTTTTATTGAGACTGCGCTGCTTCTGCGTCCGAGTCGGGAAACAAAGACACGACAGTAAGTACATTTGTGTTGAGGCCTGCTGCATCATACAGTGTAATGAAATCTCCCGATTTTCCTGACATCTGTATGCTTTAAAATGAAATGTTATAACAACAGTGGCCTGAAATTGAAACCCACGAAAACATCACCACAACTAATTGAAAAAAAAAAGTCGTTTGCATTTCTCCGCCTTGCATTGACAGGGCCTAAATTATTTTCTGCTCCTTCCATGTGTTGCTTGCCTGTGTTCCTGCCAGATGTCCAGAAAAGATAAAAAAAACAAAACAAAACAAAAAACAAACAAACCCCAAAACAACAAAAAACGTGTCAGAATAAATGTATTAGATAACAGCTGATAATCTAAGATGCACTATATAATAAAATACTTGATTGTCTACTGGAGCTGTGATATGAGTTATTTAATAAATGTTGTAAATAATGATGTAGTTAAATGTTCTCGTTCTGCGGTTTCACTCTTTAGGGCTCAATGAAGAATGCCAGGCTGCACAGCTCTCTTCTTCTCAGCATTAACAGCGACTCTCTTCTGTGCTGTAGTCGGTGAGTAGCTCCTAATGTTTCTGTTTCTAATGCATACACATTCTAAAAATAAACGTGTAAGCTAAAAAAATGTCAGTTTAAATTAATTTTTTGAGTTACGACAATTTATTTCAAAATTATATTGAACCCACAAACTATATAAAGTTAAGGGAATTTTGTCTCTACAATCAAAAGTCATTCTAATGAACCCTTACTTACTTTTGAGTAAACACCTTAAAATGTTTTTAAGTCAACCAATTAATATGTTCCTTAACAATTTTTCTACATTATTTAAAAGTATTTAATCTGTTATGCAGTTAATCACAGTCATTACAAAAGTTAATCATTAATCATTTAAAAAAATTAACTTGCTGATTTTCTTCATCATCATTTATTTTAGCGTTTTCTTGTTTTTGCATTTGTAATAGGTTATTAAATAAATTAATTCAACATTGTCTAAGCAACTAATGATTTTATATGTAACTGTAGATATTTCAACACTTTATGTTTAAACATTGAAAATAAACTTGAAATGTTTTTTCCCCAAAATGTATAAACACATTAGCCTTCAGTAAATCGTTTGTATCATCAAAGTAAATTTACACAATCAGCCTTTATGTGTTTAACGCCACAGTAACAAATGTGTTGAATCTGTAAAATGTTAACTCCACTTACAAAAAAAACATTTAGCAAAAGGACTACCTTCAACCAAGTGTTAAGTACATGTTAACTTTCTATGCACTCTGAACCTCTTAAAGTCTTGCATCTTTCTTTTATATAATGCAGTAAAAAACGTTTAAAATCAGTTTTACACATACAAGACTCAGTTTTCATAACAACATAATTAACAGTATTGTGCAATGCGTAACAGAGTTCTATTATGCGATATTATGCACATGTGTAGAGCACAGCACCTTAGCATGTCCTGTCCCTCAAGGATTTTTGTTCCCTCCACCACATTGATTGTAGTCTTATTGTCAGATCCGGGCATGTACTGGTCACCAATCAGCACACCAATTTTTTTTTTAAACACCTGCTTTTCAAGGTTAGCCTTAAACTCTTCAGTATGTTAAAGCAAATCTAAAAAAAAAGGTTAGTGGATTATATCATACACTGTTATCCTAACTAAATCTTAATTAATTTAGATCATCAGTTTAGTTCTTATTTATTTTTTAAAATTACGATATCATAATACAAGTCAATAAAAACAGATTCACTATTTTTTTGTTTTATATTCCTCCCAAAGCAGATGTTTGGTTAATATATCTAACTCAAGTTATAATAATTAATTAGAAATTTCCAGTTTGTTATTAAATTTGTTTCCCTCTTCCACTTCTACTTCTATTTTGTCATGCAGACACTGAAATGATTAAGTGAAGCCCTAATTTCCTTATTTAAAAATTTTAAGGAGCCTTTTGCAATGGCCAACACCTATGCTGAATGGGCCACTGACATGTGTGTGATATGGGGCGATTATTGATCAAGATGTGACCTAAAGTGACTAAGACGGAATCATGATGAAGGGTATGCAGTTCTGAATAAATGGGTTTTGCAACATGATTTCAAAGTTGTGAGAGAGTGACTCACATTCATTCCTATGGGCAATTTATTGTTTCCAATTAACCTGTCCCCACCACTAACTGCCTGTCTTTGAACTGTGAGAGGAAGCGGGAGTACCTGGGGAGAACCCAAACAAACATGTAAAACCCACACAGAAATTGGTGGAATTGAACCCAGGCCATTCATGCTGTGAGACAATAGTGATAACCACCAAGCCCACCAAACTCCATGAAAAGGTTCTCTTCCAGGTTCAGTGGGTACTTCGATTGTGCCATTTAAGAAAAAACTCTAAGTATTGAAATAAGTATAAACTATGTAGGTGACTGCCAACAAATTGAATTTTGAAGCCAAAGTTTTAATAATTATCATACTTCAAGAAGCATGTCATTGATCTGCCCGATTCTCACTTCCCTTGATGAAACTACATCCATCAGTTTTGGGGTCCAGTAATCAAGTTTAGCCATAAAAGTAGATTCAAGGCTTGCAGTGGTTATTTCCCCGAGAAACTTCGACCATTTTTACAAAAAAATGTCAGGCTTCACAAATATTTTCTTTTCAAAGCACACATTGCTTATGTAAAGTTTTAATGGCAAGTAGAGTCACATAGTCTTTGCCAGGATCATACTACTGAAAGCTTATTAACATATTCCCATATAGTCTGGTGGTTAAGCCTTCTGGTTTCCACCTAGGCGGCCTGGGTTTGACTCCTGGGAACTGTTTACATAATTTTGTTAGGAATTAATAAAGGATTCTGATATCATTAATATTGTCATATTAACATAGTATTTCCAAAAACGCAACTATTCCAAGAAAGGTAATAGTGATAGATACTGGTCTTAAGATCAAGAGCGATACTTCAGTTAAGCTTTATCACAAGCGTAACCGAAATAGTTTACAATATAATATAATGTGTTAGGCAAGTTTTATAAAGACAGAACGTGTGAGGCAAACAGACCAACTCTACAGGACCCCTTCTCACAGACATATTCACAGTTTAAAGGCTTCTAACTCTGGTTAAAAAAAAAAGAAAGTGATTGAAATTAGATAGCAAAATTTATAATATATGTATATAAGTCTTATCCATTCATATGCTAAAGTTCAAAATGGCTAAATAACATTGCTAAATAGTAGCATTACTTACATGTGGTAGTGCAATATTAGGTTGATGTAATTACCAAAATTATTAAGTCAACAGAACCCAAAAGCTCAGAAGACATATCTCAATAATAAATTTGAGTTTTTCTGTTACAGCCATGCATTTAATCAAGTGGTGGTAACAGGTTTGATGAATTGTTTTTAGGGTGTGTACATGTACACATACAGACATGTACATACTTTAAACCTTTAAAAAAATGTATTTAGATTTATTTTCTTTAGAGCAGTCTAACTTCTGAGCTTGTCAGTGTGCTTAATGAATTTAAACGCCCAGTCTAACGGCTTGATTTGTCCGCTATTTGCTTATATACTCATTTAGTTTTGAGCATTTTTTTTAATTACTCCTAATTATTCTGTATTGGTTTCTTTTTAACCCCTGCAGGTCAGACTAAATTCACTGTGAGTGCAAAACAGGAGGTCTACCGTGCAGAAGAAAACACTAACGTCACGATGATCTGGCTGCTCCATTTTGACACGAACAGGCCTCCTGACTCCCTGCTAATAGACCTAATGAATGTGAGAAGGACGACACAGATTTTCTTCTATGACAGTGGGAGTGACACTGAAGTGTACCCAGATGAGAACTACAGAGGGCGACTACATTGTAATCCACGGCTAGCCAGGAAAGGACGGCTTGAATGTCTTTTAACTGATGTGAGGCTCAACGATACGGGGACATACGACTGTGTGATTGTCCTTAACAGAGAAAGTAGCTACAAAACATGTGACCTCAATGTTAAAGGTAAGACGACATCACCATCTCCTTTGTTGGTATCCAGGACAGTAACTAGACAGGAAAGAAATATTTTGACCTGAATAATCAAGGGATACCCAATTAGTGTGTTTCTTACACTAAGGGACATTTTTCCAGCTTTATCACAGTCAAAAAATAAATGAATAAAAAGAATAAACAAATGTGTCATTTCAGGTTGGGAAAATTCACAAACTGTATATTAAAATATCTACATAGCCAACTTAATACTACTTAATACTTTAAAGGTATCTCCTTGAATGAAACGGTAACTAAACCCCATGCTATATTATCAAAATATAATATTAGAATTGCAATGAATGTACTCTGTTTGAATCTGCTTATGTAGGATACATACAGTAAATCTTATAGATTTTTTTTTTCGTGCTACCTACATTGTAGAGAGTAACTTTACCTCCACTCCTAAAAAGAGAAATTAGTATGGCATTACAGTGGGATTCAGCAGGTGGGGGACCCTAAGACCTGTGTAGTGTCTCAGCATGGGGAAAATAATCACAACTTACATAATTAATATGAGCTTCAGTAGGTTTTCTTAGTGTACATGATGTGTTCAGCTGACCTGCTGCTCTTTGCGGGTTTACACAACTGAATCCAACAAGTAAGCAGTTTCACATGCCATCTTGGCTAATGCCCATCAACTACACTCACAATATATGGAGAGATGACCCAAATGCAGGACTCCAGGCTGGCTAAGAAGGTTTTAT